GAATGAAATTGTCCTGTCACAGGGTTGAATTTAAAGCAACATAAGTAACAAAGAAATTGGTATTGATGTTTAGGATTTCATGCATAAAGTTGGGAGACGTATTTTCTTGAAGGTTCAAAAAGTCCTTCACCAGATGCAGGGATCAAAAACACATTTTTTGTGGTATATTTTGAAGTAATCTGAGACTCCAAAATGCACTGAATTCACCCATCAGGCATGCTTCAGCTGTTTGAGGACAGGATGCCAAATGAGGGCATCTGGACTCAACAGCTGAACGGAAACGTCCCGCATGTCAATAGCAGGAGACGCAGCCCGGAGTCCCGCCCAACAGAAAACACGCACTGGGACACAAAGCTGCTGATTGGTTCAGGAAAATCTCATATCTGGTAGATTGGTTTGCTCTTTACTCTCTGACGCTTTGCGGATGTTGAGGTTTAACTTCCTCATAACAGTTTGTCTCTATAGAAACCAAATACGAGTCACGACAGGACCAAGAGTCATTCTGCTAATGAAATATTTATGCAACTTTATGCTTTGTTAGTTTCTTCTGAAGGCAAAAATACTTCATATCAGTTAATAAGTGAATGTTTGGGGGTTTATAATTGCAAAAAATTGTCAAGTTATGTTAAAAGACATTTATGAAACACTCTTAATTTTTAATAATTTTGCACTTTTAGTTGCTTTGGTTGACTTGGAAGGTCATAATAAACATTACTAGTCATTTTGTAAGGACAGACCTTGTGTTCCTTATTAATAAGTAAATATTTTTGAGCTCTATAGTTCACCTACACAAGTGAACTGCAGAATAAGGTCTATTAGTTTACTTTGAACATAAAAACTAGCGAACCTTTAAATAAATTAGACTGCAAATTATGCTTTTTCTGGATCAGCTGCTTTGTAAACAGCATGTCAAGTAGAATTATAACTTATTTCAGTTGCCAAAGCTGCATTTGCTTTAGAGTAGCCTATCTTAGATTTGCTTGAAAAAAAAGCTCTGTGATCAGGCAGTTGTAATAAATTGGAGTCACATTTCACAGAAAACTGAACCTAAAATAGCATCTGTTTTCAAATGCAGCTCTATAAATACAGAAAATTGAATTAAACTTACTTAGTAGGAACAGTGATGCAAAAAGTGGGTGGACACTGAATGGGGGCACCAAATTATTTGGGATGTTTTCCCCCCTTTCTTTTTGTATTTAAGAATTGTTTGTACTTTGAAAATATCTAGCTGTAGTGAATACAGAATAAATACAAAATTGCTTGCCATATTTAGCATTTTTCTCATCTTGTAAGAGCTGAGCTGCCTGCGTGAGTGAGAGAGAGCGCAACCACACATCCAAACTGCAGTTTCAGTCCCATATATGGCGCCTGCTGCGTTGCGCAAAGGCAAATAAAAACACTTTTAGTCCGTTTTTAAATCTCTGCCAAAGAAAAAGTCCGCGATCCTTTAATCACCGCGCCTCCTCCTGACATCAGGCCGTTATTCCAACCGAGGCCACAAGTAAACTGCAGCCCGGATTATAATTCCGTAATCTGCCCTCCTGTGATTTAAACAGTGAAACGCGGAGATTACCTGAGCGTGGAGGTTGGATGGAGGATGATCGGGTGTGAGCGAGCCGATGGGGAGCGCTTCCGAGCTGCAGCCGGGGAGGAGAGGCGTCGAGTCGGCGTGGCAGACAGGCTGAGCCGCTGTTTATGCTGCCGGGGCGGGACACACCCCAAGCAGTCCCCTCCCTGACCCGGCCCGCTGCTGCGGCGTCCAAACCCCCGCAGCGCAAAACTGGCATCCAAACGCCATTTCTAATGAAATAAGAATGGCACTTTGCCCTGCTACCCCTAAATAAATAGGTTTTAAACAGAATTGGGTCGTTGCATTTACTTTGGTAACTTTTAGGATTGCTGCATTTTTTTACTTTTACTTGAGTAATTGTTTGATTTTACAAAGTACTGCTGCTCTTATTTGAGTAAAATTCCTGTATTGTCTCCCCACTGAATGGAAAAGAAAATTTACCATAAACAGACACACAGCTGCAGTTTTTGTTAAAAGTTTCTGTTTTTTTATTGAAAGAAATTGATTTGGAAACGTTTTATTTTGCCTGGTTTTGTTATTTGTTGTTACTTATATGAATTATTGTCATTTTCATCTTTAAAAAAACAACATTTCCACTTACCGTCATATTTTGGTCCATCTGATGATGTAATTTTTAAATAATAATAATTAAATAACTGATAATTCGATCAGTTACTCAGTACTTGAATAGACATTTTACTAAATACTATTCAGTGATTTCTTAGCAACTACTTTAATTTATTTGAATACATTTGCATATAATTTAACATATGTCCTTAGAAGGCCTGATGAAAACGACTAGATTTGGATGAGTTTTAAATCACAGCTCTTTAACTTTATCGTCCTCTGGTGGCGAAAACATGTAACTACACATGACTGGCAGTCGCCTAGAAGATTAATAAAATACTTTTTTTCCCTCTAAGTTGTCTTTTTAATGTATTGCCATGAAAACTTCTTAAGGATTTTTACACTTTATAATTACAAACATGTCTATAAAACTTCTAAAGAGAGTTTCATCAGAGAATCACAGCTGTTTCTTTCCTTTCTTCCCTTTTTCATCGTTGCTGTTTTTGCAGTAGTGTACAAACGCTGTATTTTAGTCCTCTACTTGGCATGCTCAGCCTTTCAAGGAGAAACAGAGTCTGACGTATCCATGTGGGCGGCGGAGCTGTTGCTCACCCGAGTCAAGGCCTGCGTGTTTCTGCTATAAGACATTTACGGAGCGCGTTGGTACCTCCAGCCGAGAACTGGATCCCTTAAAGCACACATGACTCACAGAAAATACTGCAAGAAGAAAAACATTCAAAAGGAATTTTAGTCACACCAAAAGCAGTTGTATGTTGATAGATAGTTAATCTGTGTTATGTAAGGCAAGTGTTATTGTCCTCTTCAGCTGGTTGTGACTCTTGTATATTGCGATTATTGGACTCTAAATGCAGTTTGTACCTGTTTGGACAACTTTTGGACAATGGCCAAGAGTCTCACCATGTCTTTAAGGGAGAGTCCACACCCTGACTTTGGTTGCTTGTATCTGCGATTTTGTTCTTTCTTTCTCTACCCAAAACCCGTGACCATAGACTGACCAGTAAACCAATAGCCTTTTGGCTCAACTCTTTCTTTACCATGACGAATCAGTACATCGCCAGTACATCGCCAGACATTCATGAAGAAGACCCAAAGATACCTGAATTTCTCCGCTTGGGACAAGACCTCGTCGTCGACCCAGAAGACACTATCTACCCTTTTCCAGAGATAACTATCTAGGATTTGGAGGTGCTTTTCCAATTTGATGAAGCTAAGAGGACAACATCATCTGCGAAAAGTAGAAACCTGATCTTGATACCTCCAACACGGATCCTCTCAACACTTTAGCTGCACCTAGAAAGTCTGCCAATGAAGGTTATGAGTTGAATCAGTGACAAAGAGCAACCAAAATACAATTCTGAATGTAACCAGAAATTATAGCAATGCAGACCAAGATCTGACACCGGTTAAGACCAAAAGAAGCTTGGTACGCCATAATCCCCAAGTACGACCCGCAGGACTCCTAGAGCCAAATCCACAGAAACAAAGTGTGAACTGTCAAGGCCCTGACAACTTGTCTTTTTTGTTTGTTTTGTTTTTTAGGGAGATTTTGGTCTTATAACTCTCCCAGGAAGATCATATCTGCCTACTCTCTTGATGTTGTTGTGGGTTCTTTTTGGATCGCCTTCATAAGACAGTTTGCTTTTGGGGTTAGAGTGGACCTCTGGTATTCGGTAGAATTATTAATACCCACAAATACTTGACACAGCTTTAGGGCGCTTATAACTGTCTATTAACACTTATAAACTGAAGACACTAATTCTTCATTAGTATGTACAGTGGAAACTGTATGTATTAATCCAGTTAGCTAGTGCTACAACAGTTTCCACTGAAGGTAGCATCTACTGTAGAGGGGTCAAGCCCATTTTCATTTTTGGGCCACATCAAGGTCACGAATGTCCTTAAACGGCCGGTTGCGACAGAATGTAACAATTAAACTACTCATTCAGAAACTATCAAAATATTATAGTTTGTTCCATTAGTACTCCTTAGAACATAAATAATTGTAGCATCTTTTCACTATAGAAAAGATGTGTTTAAGCACATAACTGTTAGCAGTCCTCAAATCTAGATGGTCACATAAATGTTTTATATTAGATAGATAGATAGATAGATAGATAGATAGATAGATAGATAGATAGATAGATAGATAGATAGATAGATAGATAGATAGATAGATAGATAGATAGATAGATAGATAGATAGATAGATAGATAGATAGATAGATAGATAGATAGATAGATAGATAGATAGATAGATAGATAGATAGATAGATAGATAGATAGATAGATAGATAGATAGATAGATAGATAGATAGATAGATAGATAGATAGATAGATAGATAGATAGATAGATAGATAGATAGATAGATAGATAGATAGATAGATAGATAGATAGATAGATAGATAGATAGATAGATAGATAGATAGATAGATAGATAGATAGATAGATAGATAGATAGATAGATAGATAGATAGATAGATAGATAGATAGATAGATAGATAGATAGATAGATAGATAGATAGATAGATAGATAGATAGATAGATAGATAGATAGATAGATAGATAGATAGATAGATAGATAGATAGATAGATAGATAGATAGATAGATAGATAGATAGATAGATAGATAGATAGATAGATAGATAGATAGATAGATAGATAGATAGATAGATAGATAGATAGATAGATAGATAGATAGATAGATAGATAGATAGATAGATAGATAGATAGATAGATAGATAGATAGATAGATAGATAGATAGATAATTATATTTCCTGCATTACGTGCGCGCGCATAAGAGCACTCTGATTCACGTGCAGTAAACCGGAGGGTGGGGAGTAGGAAGGAGAAAAGAAGAAGAAATGACTTATGGGATGCGAAGTAGCCGGGCGGCTGACAGACGCTCGCAGCGGCTGACATCTACAGGAACCAGCTGAAGGAAGGGCGGGAAATAAAGGGGGGTGTAATAAATTTACTGGTTATACGGTTCGTTTGAGGCGCAACGTGCAGGTTTGCGCACACCGCCGACGGATTCTGAGCGGAAGAAAAAAGTTGAGATCCCACGGATCAGCGCGTGGGAGTGGGGAGCAGGACCGAGCCCCGCTGCGTGTCTCGTCATGGCAGGTAATTCAGCCCGGAGCTGGGTTTCATCCCGTCCGGACCGCCGGTCTGCTGCTTGGTTCCGGTTCGTAACGACTCGTTTTATGTGGCGTGGGGGTAACGGAAGCTAGGCAGCTAGCCAAAGTTAGCAGTGCTAACCCTCAGCTAGCCAGCAGAAACAAGCGTCACCCACCGGACTGGCCGTGTCTGCCGGCTATAAATGCCCGGCCAGCTGCTGGCAGCAGATGACCACCGGTAACCGGTAACCGTATCGCTGGGACTATTTTTGCAAGCTAGCGGTCGCTTTAGCCGCGCTCCGCCGCAGTTCTTTAACGGCTCATTATCAAGAGTTGCGCTCCGGTCCGACCAACCAAAACGTGAAACTGAGAGGTTTGCTTTGACTGGAAAGTACGTGCTGGTTCCCACGGGAGGTCCAGTTGTCCCTGAACACACCCCGGCTGCTGGCTTTGGCGAGGCGAGGCGGGTTGCGGCGTTAGCGCTGCTGCTGCTGGTGGGAATGTCGGCTGCTTTCAGAGAGCCGGTTCACTTGACTCGGATCACACAGAAGAACCGTCTGTTTCTTTCACGACCACTTTATAAGAGACGCACACGTCTAATTAAAAATATTATTCTATTCTCTAAAGTGTGATCTTTGGGAGGGGCTGATGACGTCACGAAAGGCAAAAGGAAATACTTTATTTATCCCAAAGAAAAATTGGGAAAGATATCCAATATTTATCATAGAATATGTTGTGTGACGGACTGAGCTCCAGTAGCAGTCAGTGTTCAAACCAATCTGAAAAAGCCACTGACTGAAAACAGCTTTGTTAATCCACCTGGTTGCATTTGCCATCCCCCTTTAAATCTCCAATCAGCTTACATTAGTAAAAACAACAGCGAATGAGCAAATGTTTTACTTATTTTATAGATTTTGAGTTGGATTTAAAGGGCAATATCAATATTTTTTTTCTGACTTTTCTTTCTCTCCTTTCATCACATGTCTGTTTTTACTTTCAGCATATTAATCATTAAAATTATACCTTAAAAGTCTGTTCTAAAAGTGAAATTGTTATTTTCACCTCTCATTTCTTATTGTGCTACTGATATCTTATGTAACTCCAACTGTAAACTTTGGAGATTTTAAGAAAATCATGATAATGCTGTTTGGTTTTTTTTTCTGGCATTTAGCAGATAAAAATACTTTTGAAAATTGTAACTGACCCAAAAGAAGTCGAGTTTGGCATGTTTTAATGTCTCCTAAATTAAATTAATTGGTATTTTTTAAATATTTGCTTCCATTTCTCAGAATAAACTCTTGTGATTAAAACATAAAGAAGAAGATTACTTGTTTGTAATATTTATTCCTGGATATTTGCTCTTATTCTGCAGTTGCAATGAAATCTACTTATCTGTAAACCTGAAAATCACTGGTCCATCATGGCGTCAAGTCCAAACAGGAATCTAATCTAAAAAAATCTCTTCAGGGTTGTGAATATTTTACATGTAGATATTGATATCTACAAATATGTGTGTGTAATTCAGTGTTAAAATATGTATTTAATAACTGCTTTTGAGTTGTCATATCTAAGCTTCTTGTCAATTTATTTGTGGTTTTAAGCAGTGCTTGTTTTCTTATAGGAGAGATCTAGATGAGACTGTTTTTCATTCACAAAATAAAAGGCATTTTACACCTAACCAGCTGTCATTCAAGCATTTTAAGGAATGAAATTAAACCAATAGCCCATAGTTTTTTGGAGGAGTTTATTGCAGGATAACTGAGTGACTTAAAAAAATGTTTATCAACCTTATCTGCAAGCTGTTCTTGAGAAATGAAAGAAAACTGAGCCCAGACATGTTCTGGTATGAGAGTCTCAGTATTATAACCACAATTTCACAACTGTGAAGTATTTTACTCTAAAAATGTGCACAAATATGTATTTCTGGCTTTAAAGCAAAATAAAATGCTTTTCATTGCCTAAAAATTTAGATTAATCATTATAATTACAACATTTTAATAAAATGCACTCTAATTTTGGCCAAATTAGAATAAGCACACACTACATTTACCTGTAACTGATGAAAAATGTTTACAGTTTTCTAACTAATTGATCAAATTTTTTGCATTCCTTCCCACTTATAATTTGTTTATGAAATTCTGGCCCAAAAACAGAAGCTGGATCCGACATCATCCTAAATGGCTCCAGTACTCATGAGTCCATATGTATTTATCAAAATAGAAGCAAAGGGTTTTCGTCAGCTGTTAAAATGTCATTTAGAATGTCAGACAGCAACAGTCTTCAATCAGAGGCTTTTTTCGGACTAGCTGCGAGACGGACTGCTACTGGAAACCCTTCCTGTAACAAGTGTTAACCACAGAACTCTGACCAAAGCTGCGTCTGTTGGGCAATCAATGTCTTCAGTTTTTTTGATCCGATGTTGAAATTAAAAATGAAGAGTTTCTTCTAAGTTTTACTGAAACAAACATGAATTGTGTGGATGTTAAATTTGTAAAATACTGAGACTGTTTTATCTTTTTTAGACAAGTTTCTCTGTTTTAAGACTCAATTTGCGGCAGTAGTTACGGAAGATGTTGGCAAGCTTTTGCAACACCAGCCGGTTCTGCATCATCTTTATTTATTGCTTACTTCCTGACACTACTGAAGCTTGAGCTTTTTTATTATTGTATTCACAAATTTGAAAACGTTAGCAAGAAAAGGATGCAGTTATTTGACTTATTGTCAAATGCATTTATTTAAATTGGTATTCGTTGCAGTTTTTCTGGGTGTATTGATGCAGTAAACCTGTAACATGATAGAAATGTAATCTAACAAGTTTTTTTTCCTATGAAAGGACCCGGAGGCGACATGCAGTGGTGCTTCTCCCAGGTGAAGGGAGCTATTGACGATGACGTAGCTGAAGGTACGATTTAAAATCATCCTTCATGCATTTTGCTCCAAATCTAATTGATTCTGCTTGGTTAGCATCTGGATATCGGAGCTCTTGATCCTTTATGTTGAAATGTTTCCTTGCTTTTCCCCAAAGTTTATCTTGTAACCTAAAATTCCTAAAAGTTTTTATAACAGGAAGCCCTCCCTTATCACTTTGTGGTGCTGCTGGTTTCTAAACGGGGAAAATCCAAACTTTATGAAGTTCAGAGTTTAATGAAAATGACTTAAAATCTGAGCTTCAGAAAACTGTTTTCTGGTATTAAGGGAACTTTAAGGATGCAGCTTTTATTAGGAGTCAAATCTGAAATGTTTATTTAACAGGGCTGTAACTAATGTTTATTTTAGTAATCAAATACTTTGACGATTAATCAGTTAGTATGACGATTAATCGACACATTGTTGTTTTTAAAATTGGCATATTCTTAATATTTTTCATTTAACCACCTAAACCTTATTATATAGTTTTGGAAATGCAATAAAAAATGCAAAAAATTAAGTTTTTAAGAGGAAAATAAACATTTTATTGCCCAAAACTGCGTTTATGTAAAATGCATGTGATACATGTGATAACATGTTTTACAACACTTTTACAACAATGTGTGGAAAGTTCAGCTCTTTCTGCTTAAGATAACATTAATTCAGTGTATTTTATTGATTAAAAATTTGATAGAGTTTTTCTGCAGTATTTAAAACTAAAACTGCAACTTTAGAAATTCTGGATAAAACATCTACAAAAAGTGTTTTTTAAATGTTCTTAAATTAAAAATGTAAATATATTTTGTATAGTTTTTTTTAGTTTTCACTCTCAAGTTAACGATTAATTGATTACTTAATAAGTTGATGATTAATACAATTAATTGTTTCAGCCTGAATATTTTATTCGACAAATCAGCACAAAATAGTTAAACTCTGACAGGTTTTTTGGGGGGTTGATCTAAATTTATCTCCAGCCATCGTCCAATCAGCTCTGATGCCCACAGCATGATGCAGCCGCCACCATGTTTCATGATAAAATACATCAAAGTTTAAGGATATAACAAGACAAAATGTCTCTGCAAACTTTTAAACACCCCGTTCTGGGCCTCAGGCAGCACAAAGGCCCCTCACTACAATGTGGTCGGTCATTGTCTTTCTGCTACAGAGGACATTAAAGTGTGTGTGTGTGTGTGAGTGTGTGTGTTTGTTTCAGTGTGAGGAAATTAAACCAATCACGCCCTCCTTCCCACTACACAGACTGCGACTGCTGCGTTTAGTAACTAAATGTTTTCATTCTGATGTTTCTCTGCCCAGCCGACATCATATCGACGGTTGAGTTCAACCACACGGGGGAGCTGCTCGCCACCGGAGACAAGGGCGGCCGCGTCGTCATCTTCCAGCAGGAAGTAGAAGTAAAGCCCTCATAAACGTTCTGTGTTTTTTTTTTTTTTTTTTTTTTTAGATGAAATCGCGCTCCGTCTCATAAGTGTTTCTCCTGGCAGAACAAGAACCTGCCCCAGTTCAGGAGTGAGTACAATGTTTACAGCACCTTCCAGAGCCATGAGCCTGAGTTCGACTACTTGAAGAGTTTAGAAATCGAGGAGAAAATCAACAAGATCCGCTGGCTTCCCCAGAAAAACGCCGCTCAGTTCCTGCTGTCCACCAACGGTAAAGCTGCGGATTTTATCGCCCAAATGTTTCTCCTGTGCGTTTTTCAGACCTGAACAAGGAGGAGAATAAATAATCAACCTTCATTTAGACATGCCAAAACCTGGATTTTTATTTATTCTCAACTAGAAATGCACAATATATCGGTAACAACATTGATGTCAGCCGATATTAGACATTTTTTTTACACATCAGTTTTTATTCCGATAAATAAAACTGGACTGATATGAACGACTGATAATTATTTTGAATCTTTTTCTGGTTGTATTTTTTCCTAAAGGTGCCGAAACCGTAGTGAAATAACAAAAAATGCTAATATCTGATGTCAATATCAACACAAACTAAAGGCAGAAATATTAAAAATAATAGAAAAATGTTCTGTTTGTCTCTGATTTTAAACCATATTTATGAATAAACATGGTGCCAAGGTCCTTTGATTGGATTTTATACCTACATTTATTTTATAAAATGTTTAAAAACACAAAAATAAAATGACTGGAGCATCAAAACAAATATTTGCTCGCTGACTGGTTTTAACTAAATATTTAACAAAATGAAGCTCAAAAAGTTTGAAAGCTTACTTTCACAATGTGTTTGACTTTGAAGTTTGTGAACTTGGAGTTTGTTTTCTCTTCCTGTTGCAGATAAAACAATAAAATTGTGGAAAATAAGCGAAAGAGACAAGCGACCAGAAGGCTATAACCTGAAACAGGAAGATGGCCGATACAGAGATCCCAACACAATCACTGCACTGCGGGTCGGTCAGAACCACACCATGATGCTGCCGTGACGCATTCAAAGAAAACCAGAGAGTTTTTATGAATTTTTCTGCACATTTCAGTGTTTGAAAGTCACTTTCCTGCTGCAGGTCCCGGTATTAATCCCCGTGGACCTGATGGTGGAGGCCAGCCCTCGCCGGGTGTTCTCCAACGCTCACACCTACCACATCAACTCCGTCTCCGTCAACAGCGACAACGAGACCTACCTGTCAGCGGACGACCTGCGCATCAACTTGTGGAACCTGGAGATCACCGACCGCAGCTTCAGTATCCTCAAACACAACCTGACGGCCTTTATTTACATTTAGGCCTCCAGATTGGGGACCAAAATCGTAAACTACTATAAAAACCTGTTCCACCCCTCGCCTGTGGTGGCGCTGCATTGAGAAATACTGACGGAATCCACACAAAACCTCTGAAGAAGACGCTTATCACAACTTTCCGCTTCAAACAAAAATGGAGAACTGTCCGATTTTAGCGGTTGAATGATTTACCCATTAAGAAACATCTCTGGTTTGGGGACCGCCTGTTATCCTTAACTATACAAAGCGACGTTCCTGCAGGCGCCATTACTGGGAGTCGGTGAGTCACGTCCGCAAAACAAGCTTGTTCCAATATGAGCGGGAATGTGTCACAAAAATGTTCGTGGCTCCTTATTTCTTACTCGATTCCAATGTAATGTGATGTTTTGATATTTAAAATATGTAAAAGTTAGATCGCCCATGCGCTTTATTAACGGCCGTGTGACATCCGAGCTAGTGGTTAGCTAGTCAGTTCCTTGAGTCGTCATATAGGAACAGGGAGGCGAGTTTTTGCCTGTAGCTACCGCTAAATCCTCTTTAAATACCATGGGGCATGTATATCAATCTAATAATCCCTGAAAACAATTTGACTTATTTTTTCGTTTCTGGTCGCGTTTGCTGAACTGATAGTTCCAGTAGATGGAGCGGACCTTTTTAGGCGCATGCGCACGCATGCGTACCCACTGCAAAGAATGCTACTCTGACAGCAAACCCTGATCATACAGAACGCCAGGCTTTCTTTCTTCTTTTCTTTCTTTCTTTTATTCGATTGCTAATTTTCACCTCCCAAAACGAGCCGTACTTTCTAGACAAGCGACCCGGAGATGAATTAAAGCGGGCTGATCAGGGCTCTGTGTGTGAATTCAGCCATGTTGTTGGCGCTTCCCTGACCGCGCGCTCCTCAGACATCGTTGACATCAAGCCGGCCAACATGGAGGAGCTGACCGAGGTGATAACGGCGGCGGAGTTTCATCCGCACCAGTGCAACACCTTCGTCTACAGCAGCAGCAAAGGGACGATCCGCCTTTGCGACATGAGGGTGTCGGCTCTCTGCGACAAGCACTCCAAGCGTGAGTTAGCGCCACTTCTCCTTCTAAAAGGAAAACGACAGGCTGAGATTTTTATTTCTCTCCAATTATTAGATTAAAGTCGTATAATGTTGGCTGAATAGAGATTTTATGTTGCCAGAAGGGAATTGTGTAATTACTTGAAAAAAAGTGTTTTGTTAGTTTTTAAGATCTGATGTAACCAAGTCGTTCAGCTCTTGATTTAAAAAAAAAAATAGAAATAGTTACTTGAATAATTGCTTAACTTCTGATTTGTTGAAGTATTTTCTCACCTGTAAACCGATACCAAAGTGTAATTTCAAAAGATGGTCAGAATTCCTCACTTACATTTTTTAATTACTTTCCTTGTAAAAGTTATAAGATTACAACTTAGTTCTCCTAATTTTATGACTTTATTCTTGTATTTTTCTGAATTTTTGTCGCATGATTTCATTCTCATATATTACAACTTTTTTCTCGTATGGCTGAAAAATAACATCCAAACATCTGAAACTCAAAAAACACATTTGAGTGAGTTAATTTGAGTTGGCTCTAGGTTTTAGTATTTTTATTGGAGCTAGGTCAGCAGCACTGGAACCAACTCAGTAACATGAGTTACTGCAGTCCATTCGTGATGGTAAATTATTATTTCCCTCCTGTAACGACGGCCGGATGAAGTGAGGATCTCTCTGGTCACAGCTGGTCTCCGTCTTCTTCTCTTCCAGTGTTTGAGGAGCCAGAAAACCCCAGCAACCGCTCCTTCTTCTCAGAGATCATATCGTCCATCTCAGACGTCAAGTTCAGTCACAACGGACGCTACATGATGACCAGAGACTATTTATCTGTGAAGATCTGGGACCTGAACATGGAAAACCGGCCGGTGGAGACGTACCAGGTGAGGGCGCTCCTTAGACTCTGATTGGCTCAAACTGATTTTTTATTTCTCTTAGGATCTGTAAATTAATAAAAGCGATTTGCTTTTATTCAGTTTCCTAATATTCCTGCTCTAATTTAAAAGCTGCCGTTGAGACGTTTAGGTATCCAGAAGTGGGCATAAACGTATTTTTACTTAAGAAAAAGTAAAAAAAAAAAAAAGCTGTTAAAAAATTATACAAGATTTCAAAAAGTAAAAAAAAGAAGTTATTTAAGTACTGAGAAACTGATCAAAACATCAAATAATTATATTTAAAATATATATAATCAGATGGATCAAAATAGAAAGTTGTATGGAAGCTCTTGTATTTAATAGACCAAAATGAAAATAATTTATATAAATAACATAATTGTGTACAACACAGTATTAGTATTAATAATAAAGTCATATTATTCTGACTTTATTTTGTATTTTGTGAAGGTATATTTTCACATTCATTTATTTATTTTTAGCATGGATCTAATAACCTGTCTTAATTGCAAAATAAAATCAGGCAAAATAAATAAACAAAATAAGAAATCAGTTTCTTTCAATTTATAATTGATGAAACTTGAATAATAACTGCAGGTATTTGTCTTTATCTGGCAAATTTCCAGAAGTTTTACTCAAGTAAAAGTAGGAATGATTTATAATAAAGTTACTAAAAATACAGTGTGGAAAAAGAAAATGTTTTTTCAGTTACTCAAGTAAATGTAAATAGTTGTTACTCAACTAATGTCAGCCCCACCTTAAATAAAAAAAACATATTTTAAGTCACTCCTTGTAATTTTGCATAGCGGCCACTAGAGGTCAGGATAAACAATTTCTAAAGGACATTTGCCATAAAAGACAAAAACATTTCAGAAGTGATTCTTTTTCTTCTTCTGCTTCACGGCTGTTTGGTCGAATCGTTTCAGGTTCATGAATACCTGAGGAGCAAGCTGTGCTCGCTCTACGAGAACGACTGCATCTTCGACAAGTTCGAGTGCTGCTGGAACGGAAACGACAGGTAGGAGCTCAACGGCCGTTATGACTCTCAAGGAATTGGTGACTAATCTGTCGCCAGTCGAGACGCCCAGAGGAGCGTTTTGTTTTCCCTCTGTGTCATCGGCTCAGACGTTGAGCCGATTTGAATGATTCCTCTGTTTAACGGGTTCAATTATCTCAACTCCCTGGATTAAAAACAGGTTCCAGGATTAATTTACAGAGGTGTACTGTAAGGCCATTGTAGATGGGAAAGAAAGAGTAGTACGTTTCCAGAGAAAAATCTCAGAAATATTGAGATTAAGCTTTGAAAATTTCTAGAAAAAAACCCATAAATGTTCAAGCTTGAAAAGCTGAAAAATTCCTTGAAAAAAGGAAGTTTTTGAGATTGACTAAAAAAAATTTATGACCTCAAAGAGTCGAAAATTCCCCTGGAAAAAAAATTAACATATTTTGAGTTTAGGAGTTGACGATTTAATAGATAGGCAGCTCAGCAATTTTGAGTTTATTCTCAAAACTTTCACAGAAAAACATAAAAAGATCAGTTCTTAAAATGTTGCACATTGCCTTTACAATAAAACTCAGAACTTTTTAGATTAATCTTAGAATTTGTCTAGAAAAGCAAGAACATTTATGAGCTTGAAAAGTTGAAAATTTGCTGGGAATAAAATCAAAAATTTTAAGAACAATCTTTTAAATTTTATAGAAAAAAAACATGGAAAATTCAGAGTTTAAAAAGTCAAACATCTTTTGAAACTCAAAAGTCAACATTTCTGATTTTTGAAACTCTTTTCCAAGACATTTCCTTTTTTTTTTCTAGAAATGTTCAGATATAAAATCAAAATTTGAGTTTGTTTTTTTAATTTGTGCTTATTGAGTGATTTTGCACATTTGAATTAAAAGAAAAAGATAAATAATGCATTTCACAAATTTAGAAGAATTCAACATTTAATTTGACTAAATTTTCTATTTTCCTGTTCTATAGATGGAAGTGAGAAGCACTTAAAAATATTTTGACGTTAGCAAGATGTTCAATTTAAATTTGAACGTTCAGCAAAAAAATAAGTCTCGTTCTTTGTTTTCCAAGTCCCTCTGGGAGCCTTGTTGGTGCGCTTTGAAATCAAGAGCAAAATGGTTTTCCTTCCACTAAACTTTCTTCTTCCACATACTCGTGTAAAAGTTTCTTCAGTGTTTTTGTTTTGTTGTCTCTGTCTCGCCCTCCTCCCCGTGGCAGCGTGGTGATGACCGGCTCCTACAACAACTTCTTCCGGATGTTCGAGCGCGGCCAGCGGCGGGACGCCACGCTGGAGGCGTCGCGGGAGAACAGCAAGCCGCTGCAGGTCCTCAAGCCGCGGAAGGTCTGCACCGGCGGCAAGCGCAAGAAGGACGAGATCAGCGTGGACAGTTTGGACTTCAACAAGAAAATCCTCCACACCGCCTGGCATCCGCAGGACAACATAATCGCAGTGGCAACCACGAACAACCTCTACATATTCCAGGATAAAGTGAACTGATGGAGACGGAGGGCGGGGCTGGGGGCTCATCTGGAAGGAGCTCCGTGACCCCTGCGTGACCTTTTTGTGGACGGGGGTCTCCAGTCGTGCGCTGCCTGGTTGTTAAAGTTGTGCCAATGTTTTTCCTGTCGCCTGCCGACCCGACCTTTACGTCTCACCCCGTCGTTTCTTCAAACTTTAACTAGACTTCTTTTTTTAAACAGTCCCTCTGATTCGTTCTCTGGTAGAATTAAAACATTATCTTTTTCTTTTGCCTCCCATGACGTTGTGGTGTTTACATTTCTAAAGGAAATCACATTTTTACTCTTTTCCTTCGTGATTTTAAAATCACAGGATGTCCATGTCTGAGCGACGACGGAGAATTAGCATCATAATTAGAAAAAGAGGAAAATAAGGAATGAAATTACAAAAACAAACGAGAACAAAGATGTATATGAATATATGAATAAAATAGTATATGAATATAAGTATATGAATAAAATTGTAATGATACAAGAATTGTCGTAATGTTACAACCTTGCTCTCGTAATACAATATTATTTTGGCGTTATTTGTGTAATGCTTTAATTTTACTCTTGAACATAATATTACAACTTTATTCTCGTGTTATTACCACTTTTGTCTTGGTATTATGACTTTATTCTTGTGTTATTACGATTTGTATTATTTTGACTATTTCTATATTTCAACTTTATTTTTATAATATGAATTTATTCTCATATTACATCTTTGTTCTCACAAAACTATGACTTTATTCTTGTAATATTACGAGTTTATTCTAGTCTAATTACAACTTTATTCTTTATATATTATGACTATATATTACGACTATATTCATGGTACTGTACTATATTCTTGTATTTTTATATTTTCTTGGCATGTCCCTAATTTTCCGTCGTTCTCTCAAACTCCAGACGTTATTCTTTTATCTCCCTTCAAGATGGCCGTCTTTCTGCATCGAGTCCTCTTCCTCTCTTGCTATTGTTACTTTTCTGTGTACAACAGCAGTCAGGTAATAAAAAAAAAAGGCTTTACAGCGATAATATTGATAATATTATGATTGTCATATTTATATGAAATACTGTTGAAAACGTCGGCGGTTGTTTTCCATCCCACTTTGTGAAACGACGCCGGACTTTTAGCTTCTTTTTCAGACCTTAAGTTTCACACTGGACTCTGTTAGTGCACCAAATCGTCCTCTGGATGTCTGCGTTGTGTGACTGCGATTTAAAAACCGCGAAATTATTTGAGGCATTGAATAACTTATTTTAACCACTGAGAACATCACTGCAATGAGGATTTTTCTTTTTTTACGACAGGGATTCCTTCAGTAATGTGGAATCATAATTTTACTCTGACGGTGGAAGAAAAGGGAAAAATAAAGGAATTATTTTGCATCGTTTTGGTTGCGTGTCTTTGTTTCACTGCCTGTTTTTGTTTAAGTTAAGATGTATTTAAAATGGATTATTCTTATAATCCAGCTGAAAAGGTGAAAGTTTGATTTATTACAGAAAAAGTGATGTATGTAGTAGATAAACATGAACTATTCTTTTGTGTGAATTGGCATGTAGAATTGGTGAGGTCTTAAAAAGAATCTAGGTTACTGAGATATAAACAACGTCCTCATGTCGCTGTTGAAGTTGGAAGACATTCCTGTTGACACTTTCCTTCCACTAAACTTTCTACTTGGCTACAGAGCCTTTAAAATGCACATTAAGTTTTACTTTTTAAATTAAATTACTGGAACATTTTTTTCATTTTAAAGACCTTAGTTTCACATTTTAGTTTCAGACGCACCTCTTCAGAAGTCTGTTTGGGTTTTACTATTTTGATTTTTAACGACGTCGCTCAAAGGCATCATGGAAAAGTTCTTGGAATTGAACCGTCGGTGGATGAAAATCTGCTCCGATGGGGTCCAGTTACAGAAATTTGCGAATAAGCTCTCAACGGGTTAGAGTGGTGACTACGTGGGGGCATGCATGTCTCCACAGTCCGAGGCAAACTTAGATGCCATGTTTATACTTTTCAAACTAATAGGTGGCTCCGTGTATGGTAAGACATTGTAGCATATAATGAACTCAGATTAAATATGTATACATATATTTCCAAAGTATTGGGATTTCTTTTTGTAAAAGTAGAAATTCTTTAGTTAAAGGTGAATCTGAAATATGGCAAGTCGGTTTGTAATATAAAGGAATTTAAAAAATGTAGATATCACTATCTAAAACAAGTCTTCCTAATTGATAATATGTCAGCTATTTAAAAAAATACTTATTTTCAAATAAATTTATTTAAAATAAGAATAATTTTTACTTATAAATGAATAAGTAGAAATAATATTTCTCATTTTTTTGTGGTGAGCTGACCTCCCTCGGCTTTATTAGGTAATTAGATGTTTACTAGAAAGCAGTAAAATATTTTAATTTATTTTTATTTAATCCTGTGCTTGCTGTGTTTTCTGAAAACTACACTCTAGTCTAGCTGTTTTCTTTAACAACATATGGCTATAAAATGATAAATCGACTTCCCATTCTCTAACTCGTTACGTAATCTGACTCCGTACCCACCCAGTTGTGTCAAACAGAGGCTATTACGTCACCCCACGGCCCCGCCTCCGAGGAGCTGTGATTGGCTGCTGTCTGCAGCTGCCTGTCGGCTAGCTAAGCCTACGAAAACAAACGGCGCTTCGGGTTAGCGTCTCAGTTTTTTGGTTGTGTTTCCCAGGGCTGGCGACGCCTCGGCTCGGTTATATTAAAGCTCGTCTGAATGTGTATAGAAAGGAGCAGTTGTAGCTCTTAATGCGACCTTCCCTCCTCACTAGGAACCACCATGTCCGACGCGGCTAACGTTACTTCTACAGACAACAACGGAGAATCGGGGCTTAACGGTAAGCTAACTGCTACCAACCCGACGCCCTAAAGCACCCATAAGGCTATTTTCCCCCTCTGCTGCCTTCTCTGAATACAATGCTTTATAAATAAAAGTCGTTTACAGTTCGGCGTGTGTCAACAACAGTGGTGTAAATTTCACATTTATCTCTCTCTTTTTTTTTTTTTTTTTTTTTTTGCAAACGAAGCCTCAGCGAAAGGGGAGGGCCTCGAACGTAATGTTCCGTGTTTATTGACAGTCTGTGGAGTGACAGAGCCTGCTAGAGTTGACAGCGACGTGAGCCAATCAGCGCTCCCCTGGAGGCGGGCTGAACCAATCGCCGCTTCCATGGGGGCGGGCTGAGCTCTTGTCAACAAGCCTAGATGGAAGATGTCCAACGTGGTGAAACTGACGCAAATATTTGATCGTTAGCCCTTAATAACGGCGGTTTGTAAGATAAATAACCGACTAATCTGTATGTAAGAGACAACTATGACATCAACTATGATGTGTTCATTAAATATTACACTGCTGCACTGACTCAGGCCCAGCCAACAGGGTTTGGAAAATGTTGCAGCACTATTTAGGGGGGAGTTGTGACTTGGCCTGCTATTTATGGTTATGACAACAAGGGGACTAAAGTTTTAGATATGAGAAAGGTGGGGGAGTAGCATGGTTCACACTAGTTAAGGGTGTACGAAGTAAAACACGTCTTAATCTGTAGCTAGATGTTTTAATTTTAATGTTTCATGTTTTTGTTCTCATTCTCTGAATAAAATCCAGTGCAATCAATCCCTTCTGAAGCTAACTAATTAGTAAACGCAGCCCATCTGTGTGCAGTGTAACCCTGAACAGACCCTCTCTACTGTAAAGCATGGTGGTGGCAGTGTCATGCTGCAGCATGAAGTAGATCAGTTACACAAATAAACTGACAACGATTTCTCGACAGATCCAAAAATTTAATTGTTAAACGAGTTTGCTTATTATTTGGGGGTGAATTAAAGAAAACTAAAATGTTTAATCTATTCTCATCAGTAAAATCAGGATATAAATCAGTCTTCATTTTGAAACAAAATTCTGTATTTAACCAGGTTTTAAAACCTAAATAAATTAAAGGCAGATTTTGGTGCACCAAAGTGTAAACCTGTCGCAATAAGTAATTAACCAATTAATCCCATGATAAATTAAAATATCCTTGTTAATTTCCATTTTGATGATTAATATTTTCATGAAGGTCAGTTATGTTTTCATTGTATTTATGGGTTCAGTTATGTCTGTTTTTTAGTTATAGTTTTCGGTTGCTTATGTTGGGTATTTAAAATATCTTCCAGTGTCGAGTTTTCTGGCAGTTTTACGTCATTATCAATTATCATTATCAATTTATAAAAAGTGACATTTTTATTGCGACAGGCCTACCAGGGTGCACTTTAGAGTATAAATCAATGTTCAATTCAAGATGTTTTCAGTAGAAACTAGACCAAAAGTACTCGGTAGGATTTTGTGTTTTTGCAGTGCGCTCTCTTCTAACTGGGATTCATTAGATTATTTGGTTAATCTCGTGTTCAGATTATTCTTCATATTCCCGTCCGTGTTGCTCTGTTTTGATATAGAACATGTTATTTTGCTCTGCGGTCCTGCCGCGAGGTCACATCACGATCCAGCAGCTGATGTTGTCCAGAATGTTCTGAGCGACGGGCGCCATGGCAACGCGGCTTTAACCCGCCGGGCCGGCACAATGGACCGCGGTCCGCTGCGTAATCCGCAGGTGGAGCCCGGAGACGCAGCTTCTCGGCTTCTGGCGTGTTTTCTTGTTTACGTGCTTCTGCTCTTCCTCATTGTTTTGTTACTCTGAAGCATTTGTAACAAGCCGCCCTCCTCCTCCTCCTCCTCCTGCTCTTCCTCTTCGTCCTGCTACTCTTCCTCCTCCTCCTCCTCCTCTATATTTGTACCGCTGCCCTCCGAGCTGCCGGTCCATGCCAGAGCTCACGTACGAGCCGGCGGGAGCGTTTTATTCCCCAGCCAACGTCTGCTTACACAGGCGAGCGTTTACTGCCGGCTCATCACACTGCAATAAATAGAACCCGGCCGTCTGGTTGCTTTATTTCCCATCCACACTCTGGCCTTACAAATAAGTGCAAAACTTTCCTACACTGACCCAAAGAAACCACCTTTACTGTCACAAAATGTAAGAACATAAACACGGGTTTTGTAAGTTTATAATTAGTGCCAAAAGTTTGAGTTTTTTGCCAATTTTAGACATTTGAGTTTAAACTCAGAAATAACTTGAAAAAGTTGTTGAGACTTAGACCTGTCACAGTAAATCAGATAATCACACAATGAATTAAAGCAAACTCAATCATTTTCTTTTGTATGATTAATTGTTTTTCTCTTTTCCTACCAAAAACTGGACGATAAAAGATTTCAGTTTTTCAGTTTTGGTCTCAACTATCCGTTTTTGAGACTTCCTAATTCATTTTATTTGTTGTTTTGTTTGTATACTTTCACTATTTAAAATGTTTTACAGTTCCAGTGTTGAATATTTATTAAAATGTAAAGTTTATTGATATTTGAGATTGTGTTCTTGCATTATATCATTTTTTGAAATGACCTCAAAACAGCAATATTATCCTTTTATTGCAATTCTGGGACAGTTTGTCCTCCAGTGAAATTAGTTATGGTGAGTTTGACTTTTGAATCATTATTTTCATTATTTTCTATTACAAGTTTTCTCTTTTTAAAATCTTAACACTGTGAAAATTAAAACTGAATTTCACTGAAAGTTGATGAATCTGATAGTAAAATCACATTTCTTAACCAATTAAAAAGGCCTGGCACAGTAAGCAATAAATTAATTATGGTTTATTGTTCCTTTTCCTACCAAAAACTGGATGATGGAAATCTTCAGTTGAAGCTCTTATTTTGAAGGATATATATATTTTTTGTTTTACTTGTTGTTTTGTTTATTTTGGATATTTAAAATATCTCCCATTTCCAGTGCTAAATGTTGATTAAAATGGAAAGTTTATTGATATTTGAGAATTTGTTCTCGTATTATATCACTTAAAATTGTCTCAAAATAACATTATTATCATTTATCGCGATAATTTCTGAAACAATTTATTGTCCAACAAAATTAGTGATTATTAAAGGCCTACATGACTTAAAGGAAAATAAATTAATTTTTTGAATGATTTTCATAATTATAATCATGTTTATTGGGTTATATTTCTTCTTCTGTGGTCATTTCTGATCATTTATCCTGGTTTAACCATAACAGAGTAAATGACCCGTCCGGTTTCTCCTCGCAGGGTCCTGGGTGGAGTTGGAGATGAACAGAACCCAGCCGGCCCAGGCGTCCTCGCCGGCCGCGCCGGGCCTGCTGCCTCTTCCTCAGGTGGAGGAAGAGGAGGCCCTGGTGGGGGGGCTGGAGCACGTCCCGTCGTCCTCCTCCATCCACAACGGAGACATGGAGAAGATCCTGCTGGACGCTCAGCACGAGTCGAGCCGCAGCAACTCGTCCTGCGACAGGTAGGCCCGGAAACGCCGAAACAAACCCTGGAATTACCTGGAGCTTCAGTCAGATGTGTTCAAGGTTTGGAAAGTGCTTGATTGTGATGCGTCAAATTTTTATCGCGCTTTTCTGGACTCTTTTCGAGCGAGAACGATATTTACATTTGAAATCAGATATTTTTAATAATAAAAAGAGATTTCTTTCTCAATGTCTGAAGTTAAATTAGATGAAACATTTCTTGTTTTAGGTTAGTAAGAAATCTGAAATTTATTTCTATTTACTAAATTCTATAAAACACGGGTGTCAAACTCAAGGCCCGGGGGCCAAATGTGGCCCGCCGTAAATGTTTATCTGGTCCTCTAGATTCTAAACCTTCTGTGCTTAGATATTGTTTTATTCATGATGTTGAATCAGTTTTTACCTGAATACATCAATGTGGAAAGATGTTCAATATGATTTAACTTTAAGAAGTACTTCCTGAAGGCAGAAATGGATATGTATTAATATTTTAGACGTTTTTTAACGGGTTTTATCAACACATTCTGCCACAAGAAGCCCTTTGAGAACAAGAGTTGGACGTCCCTGCCATAAAACTTAGCAAGAACATTTTTAAAATATTTATCATTCCTCATTTTTAATTTTTTTTAGCTTTTATTTAACTAGTTAAGTTGATTGAGAACAAATTCCCATTTTTAGCAACATTCAGAAAACATTGAAACAAAAAGTAAACAAAAGAAACAGACTAGATGAAATGTAGAAAACAAAAAGGAAGTATAAAAAATGCCCAACCTTCCTGTCAGGCTGTGGAAATGTCATTTATAGTGAGTTTCACATAAACAATGCCTTCAACGTTTGACCGAAAAGTTCAGAAATTGCCTCATAAATTATGCTGACGCTTTGTTTTCAATGAAAACTAAAATGTTCTGATGTATTTTCCCTCATTGGGAACAAAACATTTTCTGCCAGTTATATAAAAACAATGAAGTCATGAAGTCCAGGGTCAGGAAAAGGTCAGCAGCTCTATTTATGGAAGATAAAGTGATGCTGACGTCGATGTGTCACTGTTTCATTGAATGTGTTGAAAACATAACGGGGATCCTATCGGCCGCTGGACTTGCAGCCACCAGGGAGTCGCCGCTGGTTTCAGAACGCTGAGTCAGCAACCCGAACGCCTCGCACAGCGGCAGACCCCGCAGCTTTTCGACTGATAATGTCACGATGAAGCGTTTTTTTTAGCTCACTTAATCCTCCGGTTCTCCCACTCGGGCTTCTCTGGTAGGAAGCTGGAGGTGTGGAGGGAGCCTGTGTGGAAAAACATTCGATATTTTCTCCCGTTGACGTTGCCAGTGTTGTTTGATTTGCTGAGTCGGAGGTTTTGTCACTGGAAGAGCTGGCGCTAGCTCGGGTTACCGTGGCAACACACACGGACCTATCAACATACATCACCATGGTAACAACGTGGAATGTGTTTAAAGCCACCCAGATTACCATGGCAACGAAGCTACGACCAAACACTTTGATTTTTGTCGAATCATGTCAAATAAAATAAAAACTATTACCGACTCATTTGGGTTTAGATTCTAGTGTAAATAAATTATTACACTGTAAATGAGATTACAAGTGACTTTTCAGAACAATGTAGGAACTTGTTTAATGTAAATAATTCCCTAATTTTTATTAAATGGTACTTGTTCCACTGGCAGATTGTTTAATTTATAACCAAATATTTTTGTCATTTTATCAATTTAATAATCTGCCAGTGGAACTCCTTCTTTTTTATAAATGTCAAGAAATTATTTTCTGAAAACAAGCTTCTGTATCTTGCTGAAAAGTTGCTTACAAGTTTGTTTTCTCTGATTTCAAGATTACTAAGATATTTGGACTAGAAAGTAACTTAAATTTTTTTGCAGTGTATCATTATCCAGAATAGTTTTACGAGTTTTGTGAGTCTGAGCTAAATGTTTCTGAATTAAGTAAGAAGTTAGGAGCGCTGTGTGACAGTAGGAAGGGCGGATTCGTTTCCACGCTGTAAAAACTAATCAGTGAAACTGCGGTATTTTCTTTATTAAACGGAATCAGTCAGATTTTCTTTGGTTTCTGCTGCTTCCCACCGCGCAGCCCGCCGCGGCCCCACTCCCCCCAGGACGAGGGACAGATCATCTTCGACGTGGACACGACCGGCCGAAGAGACAGCCAGGTCAGACGGCTCCGCTCGTCCCGTTTCCACGGAAACGCCGGTCCCGCTGCCATCTTGCGGTGTTTTTGATAACCTGCCTGTCCTGCTCCCTTCAGTCTGAAGAGGACGCCCTGGACAAGGAGAGGGACATGGACATCCTGATGAAGGACGCGGACTGGGTCGCCGACTGGTCCAGTCGACCCGAAAACATTCCCCCCAAGTAAGGGCTCCGCACGTTTCCATAGCAACAGCCGTCCGGGTCCATGTTTGTGCACAGGAAACGGTCAGTCAGTGATACTGACAGTCATTTAGCTTTATTATTTATCATACACTTATATGAATAATTAGCTAAAATCTACAACCAACATCAAGTAGCATGAAATGTTTTCCTTCCAACTACTGATTTAAAGAAACATTAACCTTTTATTCCTCACTGTCTGAAGTGAAATCAGTCCAAATGTCTGGTTTTAATGAATTTAGACTCGCCACAGTTATTTCTGTTACACATGGATGAATCGATGAGTTGATGTCCAGGTGTGAGTGTTTGGCCGTTTCTCTTCCAGGGAGTTTCATTTCCGCCACCCTCGTCGCTCGGTGATGCTCAGCATGAGGAAGACCGGCGCCATGAAGAAGGGCGGGATCTTCTCTGCCGAGTTTCTCAAAGTCTTCATCCCCTCGTTGCTGCTATCGCACATCCTCGCTCTGGGCCTGGGGTACGAATTAACCTGCTGACACATTAACCCATCCACTTTTGTGACGATTAATCGATTAAAAATCTGCTTCCTGCAGATTTTTAGCCATTTTAGTGACAAGTTCAGCTCTTTCTGCTGCAATTATTTTTATTTTCATTTTTTACAGAATTTGAAGCTAAACACTGTCGGTGTTTTTGGTAAAACATATTTAAAAACAAATCTCTTCATTTTATCTTTGTACATTTTGTATATTTTTTGTACAGTTTTGTCTTAACTGCTCCCCTGATTGTGTTGTTCTAACAGGCAATTGCTTTTTATTTAAGTTTATTTACTCCAGTTAACAATTAATCGATTACTAAATTAATAGACGATTAATCATTTGTAGTCAAAAACAACTCAGTTAGCAACTTTAACTTCATTTTCAGGTTCAAGATTTTATTTTTCATATCAATTTATCATATTTGTTACTATGTAATAGGTGAACTGTGGTTTCACTATTCTTTCTTGAAAGCCTCAAACTTCACTGTTTTATTTGGATTTTATGGTGAAGTCTGACTTTTAACAGGGCAACAGGATTAGACAATGCAAACTTTATTGAAAGGATCCATGATGTATTTATTGTTTCACTTATTTTCAGATGTTTTACACAAACCGTGTTGCTGATCCTGTGATTAAACTTGAACCAGTGCAGTTTCCCAGTTCGACCAGCAGGGGGAGCGGTGCAGCTCCAGACAACGCAGCAGCTGCAACACAGCTGCTGCAGCACAGCTGCTGCAGCTGCTGCGCTGCTGCAGTCAGAACAAAGCCGAGGTTTGAGCAGGAACGAAACGCATCGTAACGTCTGGAGTCAAAACGATTCGAGGTTTTATTTGCTTAAATTATGAAGTCAGTTCATGTGGAACTGATTTTCTCTGTCATTGGCTCCTTCAGTGGAAACGTTTCAAAGCTCTAAACTATAGTGAGTCCAAACTGAGGCTCGTGGGCCATTTGTGGCTCTTGAAATGATTTTTTTGTTCTAGCACAATACAAATTTTTGCATGACTTTTAATATTTAATTCGGAAAATGTAGTAGAAAATAATGACAAAATTCAAAGTATTATATTTATATTTTAGGCTCGTTCTTTTTCTGTGGGGATTTTTACATTTAGCCTATTCTGTAAATTGAGCAGTTCAAGACAGACAGGCGATTTCTTTCTGAATGTGGGTGCAGTGGTTCTGCTGGCCCAGTCTGACGGTTCCTCTGCTCCTCCTGTCAGTGTTTACATCGGGAAGAGGCTGACCACGCCGCCGGCCAGCTCCTTCTGAACCCAAACTGAAGACAAGTGCCTGAAGAGAAGTTGCCACGAGCCGTTTCTGGATGATTTGTGCTGTTGTGAGAAGATTGCCCGTCTCTCGTCCCTCTTCCTCACCTGCCTGCCTCCTCTTCCTCCTGCTTCGTTTTAACCCCTTCCCTCCCTCCTCCTGTTTTCCTCTAACCGTCTGCAGCTTTCTGAGGTCGTATTTTCCCCTCTAGAAGTTTCTAAGCGGATTGTTGCAGTGTTGAAAATAAGAGACTGACCAGAGATTGTGCCACCTGCGTGAAGTAGCCCAGCTCTCGATCACGACCAAATTCAGACCGAAGCTCAGTCTGGAAATGTGATCGCGCCTTTTTTTTCTCCTTTTTCTGAAAGTGGCCATTTTTGTTTCTTCTTCTTCTGCTGATTGTGTTTACTTTATTTATTTAGCAAACAATGGTTGTCTACAGAGACAGCAGCCAACTCAAACCTTTATTCTGACCAGTTTTGAGAGGCAAAGACCCTGTGACACTAACTGGGAACCAGTCTGAGTTGCACACACTGGAAAAAAGCTAAATATTACCAAGTAGTTTTGGTGGAGCTTATAGTGGAAGTGTTTTCGTACGCTTAAAATAAGACGAAACAAACTTACAAATAACTTTTAATCAAGAAATTGGAGCTTGTTTTGTGTCAATAATTCCTTAATATTGGTAAAAAATATTGTATTTTTTTCTGCCAAGAAACTGAAATTTTTTTGCCTCATTTCAGAAATTCTGTAGAAAACACAAATAAATGCCTCAGCTTCAAAACTTGAAGATTTGCTAGGAAAAAAATATGTTTCAAAAATTTTCTAGAAAAGTTAAGAATGTGCAAGAAAACTCTCAAAATGTTTAGATTAATCTCAGAAAGTTTCTTGAGAAATTTCTGAGCTCCGACAGTGGAAAATTTGCTGGGAAAAAAATCTCAGATATTTTTAGATTTATCTCAGAAACTTTCTAGAAAAATTTGGCAATTTCTTGAGTTTCAAAAATTTAACATGTTTCACTTTTGAATCTCAAAAATTTTATAAAATTTCTGATTAATCTAAAAATTTCAGAGTTTTTTGGTGAAAATTTACTCCTCGGTCGTAGCAATAATCTGCCGTTGGAAATAGTAATTTTTCATCCATATTAAGGACATAAAACAATCTCCTAATTTTTTGCTGAAAAGTCCCTTTAAAGTTAATTTTGTCTTATTTCTAGCATACTAAGATATTTGCACTAGAAACTGGACATAAACCTTCGGTAACATGTTGTGTTTTTGCAGTGCAGAACTCTTCAGGTTCAGTCTGACTCGTTTTAATCGACTTTTTCCTGAACGTTTTTCAAGAAGAAAATATTTCACAAAGAAATTTAACGTTTCTATTAGGAGTTTATTGTTTCAGAGATGGTTTTAAGGAAAGCAGCGCTCTTGCACTCCAGAGAAAACAGTGAAGCACTCCGTAGATCTGCAGGTGATAGAAAGTGGCTGTGCAAACGTAGAAAAGCACTAACAGATGGTTCTGGCATGACGGCCTCAAAGTTCTGGTGGTTCTGAACAACCAGGAACGAGAAAATGAGGGAAAAATTGATGATTATGATTTACAGCTAAAAAAAAACTAAATTCAGTTTTTATGAATTAGGATATTAAGTCAGAGCACTGAAAATGACGTTGGACTTGTTGATTAATTATCATCAAAATTATGATTGAAAAATATTAGATTTTTTACATTTTATCCCTAAATTAAATAACTACAAGAAAAAAATCTGAATGTAACAACTAAAGGTCTTTAATTTCTAATTAAATTATATCTTTGACCTTTTTCTTACATGATCATAACTTCAATATTTGTCCGATTCATAAATTAATCAATTTTACTGTTATTGTGCCTCTTTAACTTCTTAAACCAGATGAAGCATGGAAGACAAATGAATTTAAATAATCAGGTCATAAAATAACAGATTTCTTTCTCTGAAAATGTTATAAAAAATCTGGAATTTCAAAATAGAAATTTACTTTCGTTTTCTCTATTCTGTCAGTTCTCTCCAAGTTTTTTTTCCTTCCATTAAACTTTCCATTAATATTTGTTTTGAAGAGAACTGATTCTAAAATGTTTTATTGGTCTTATTCTAAATTTTTGACGAGCAAAATTTTATGTTTCCCTTGGCTGTAAGTCATAATCATCATAAAGATATTTGAATTTGTTGATGGGTTTAACCGGCACCATCAACAGATACTTTGATTTCAGGAGGAAATAAATGGAAATTGTGATTTTTACTCCTTTTTTTGCACTTGTTGGATAGAAACAAATCAAGAACGTTCCCTGTTCCCTCATCAAAACAATCTCAATTGATGATTCCATGAACACAAGACAAAAACAGCTCAGCATGCCTCTGCATTAAAAACCTTTTAACTTCCTGTTTTGTTTTTTAACTTCCTGTTTTGTTTTTGTTTGCTGCCCCCTTGTGCTGGTGCTTGTATTTGTTCCTGCTACAGTTAAACCTTACATTTTGTGTTCTTTCCTGTTATTCGTTTTGAACCATTTTCGTTTCCTGCTGTCGAAGAAGAGATTGTGAATGCACACACTGGGACTCAAGCTTGACGTGAAAATATTTCAAAAGCGGGAAAATAAAACTCCTTCCTGAAGAAAAAGGAAAGTGTGGAGAGAGCTTTTCCTCCATTAGACTGTGACGGTCCGAGAGAAGTTCTTGATGCATTTGCTTTAATTTTTTTCCTGCTACATTGAAAACATTGATAAACATTTTGTCAATAAACATGACCTGAGTGGAAATGGCGGCTTGGTTTTGGTTTTTTGTTCTGGTCCAATGAAATGTTATTTTTGTAATAATTGTTTTATTTGAAACCGCACACAGAAATCAACCTTTAATTCAGAGGGAAGCTGCTGGGAGATGATCTGCACTCCTCTCTGTTGTCATATCCCATCAGTTACACTGAAATTATCACACTTAAACCTGTCCAGATGTACACAAAAATAAAAAATAGTAGAGATATAAAATCTTATTGTGTAAAATAAATAATTATAATGTGTTTGTATTTACAAATCACTATTTACTTGCATGTTGCAGGGTGTTTCTTCCTGACATTTTTAAAAATGAACCCTGCTTCCTCCACCTTCCTTATATGGAATGTCAGGACACCAGTTATCGGCCAATCAGAAGCTTAAACGCCGGCGGCTCCGCCCACTGCAGCTGATGGCGTTGCTCTGGGTTACAGGGAGGCGGCCAGCTCCGTCTCTATCGACAGCTTCCATGAACGGAAAAAGAGCGAGAGGGGGACAGAAACAAGGGATTATTTACAGATTTAAGATGATTTCTGCCATGAACTTGTTCTTTCTCCCCCATCTCAGAGGAACATCCACAAAGTTAGCTTTGCTTGGCAGCTGTTGACATCAAAAATAGCAGCAGGTTGCGCCGCGATGCTAACATTAGCTTCCTGTAGCAGTTTAGCTTTGCTCTATCTTGTAATCTCATCTAGTAGTACTGCCGTAGTACTACTAGTAAACTTCATTTAGCCGCTAGCTGTCACAAAGCAGCAAGGTAAGCTTGTAGCATTGCAGCTAACTCTCTTAGCTCCTTTCACCAACGTGTCTTCAGCCATTTTGGATGATAATGCTGTGGGCTGGATGGCTTTCCAGTAGCAGTCAGTCTGATGATGCTCCTGACTGAAGACTGAGGCTGTATTCTGACATTGAGTTTGCAGCTCATCAGATTTTTTAAAATTCTGACTTTAATCTCAGAATTTTGAGATTAGAGTCAGAATCCTGACCTTTTTTTTCTTACAAATCTGATCTTAATATCAGATTTTTTTTATTTCTCAGAATTCAGACTTTAATCTCAGAATTCTGATTTCAGTCTCATAATTTTAAGGTTAAAGTCAGAATCCTGACTTCTTTTCTCAGAATCATTTTTCTTAAAATTATATCTAATTATAACTTTAATCTCAAAATTCTCAGAATTCTGACTTTTTCCTCAAAATTTAGATTTTTGATGTCAGAATATTAAAGTTGAATTTCTGTCAGCTAATCCTAATCCTTACCAGTTTCTCCTCCATCATTGCTACTAAATAACAGCTTCAGGTTTCTGTGTCTTCTGCACCTCGTCTCCTCTTCATTTAACGTAGAATAAAAACTAGACAATTTGTGAAAAATGTGCACAATCTCTGTTCATACTTCAGTCTGAACAGGCAGAACCGATCCAAAGTAATCCGTCCATGTTTACACTCCCAGTAAGTGGATCATGTCTTGTTTTGCTGATGTCATTTTGTCCTACATCTGTTATGGATGCCAAAGTCGCGCCCTGACTCTCCACGCAGATCAGTCTCTCTTTTTTTTTTGGGCCTGCTGCCAACTTTCATCTGTCTCTGCTACAAAAAACACATTCAGGATTTAGCTCTGATATTCAGACGCGTGTTTCCCTGTGGAAACGACCACCCCCTCTTCATCCCCCGGGAGAATTAATGAGTTCAGTAAAGAAGCATTAGCTGCCCACCGCGTTGTTATGGAAACTGGGCCGGCATGGACACTTTCTCATGGCCTCCGCTAGGAGAGCTTTTGTCTGCTCAGACACTGACATGTGTTAGGGAGCGCTGGTATTGATCGCCATGCAGCACTAATGTATTTACAAGTCACGGAAAGACTCCATTTATGATGCTAAGCTAAAGATGAATCACAGGCACCAAAACGATTCACAGTCCAGCAGCCTTGGTAATTATTTATCAAGGCTACGTGAATAAGGCTTTTATTGTGTGTTTATTTTGTAAATAACTTCACTTTGTCTGATTAAAATTAGTCTAAAATGTAACAGAAGAAATCTGCGAAGAGGCAAATACTTTTTTACAGTCATGGCGCTTAAAGATAGCATTAAAGCTAAAGTTAACATTACAGTATACAAAAACTAGCTAATATTTGAATCCAAAGTTTGTTTTGTCGCACAGATAACTAATATTTTTGTAGTTTTTGGCACAGATCAGTTGTAAGAATATTTGAAGTTAAAGTTAACATGACAGCACATCTAGGTAATATCAGACGTTATCCAAAACTGGTAGTTAAAGTTAGCTTTCCAGGATATTTAGCTAATATTCAAAATTAAAGTTAGCACTGCAGCACAATTGGGTAATATATGATGCAAACCACATCTGAAAGGTAAAGTTAGCACTACTGGACAGCTAGCTAGAAACATTAGCAGAACTGGGATTTAAAGTTAACACTACAACTGAAGTTTGTTTTGTAGCACAGATAGCTAATATTTGAACTTAGCACTGCAGCATAGATATCTGAGATCAGAAGTAAGTAGTATGAATCATATAACTAATATTTGAAGTTGAAGTTAGCATTTCAGAAACAAGCTAATATCAGCAGTTAGCCACAACTGGAATTTAAAGTTCATACTACAGAAAAACTAGCTAATATTTTAATCTAAAGTTTGTTTTGTCTCACAGATAACTAATTGTGCACATCAGTTGTTATCGCTGTAAGAATATTTGAAGTAGACGTTTGCATTGCAGCACAGCTGGCTAATATGGGGAGTTAACCACATCTGGAAATTAAAGTTAGCACTATATATAAGATAGCTATTTAATATTTGAAGTTAAGGTTAGCATCATAGCAAAGTTAACTGCTATTGGAAGCTAAATCCTCCAGCGATGCTAGTAGCTAAAGGAAGGTGTCACAGATTTGCTGCTTCTTACACAATTTCAGTCCATTTTCTACTCTAGTTTCTACAGTTTCTACTCTACAAAGCTTCCTCACATCTAAAGTTCATCTTTATTCAGATAACAGCTGGATAGTTTGTGCTGTGTTGTTGACGGGAGCAGTGGAAGTGGTCAAACTTTTGGTTGTTAGAGTTAGGGTGCTGGAGGGACAGCGCCCTCCATTCCCGAACTGGGTGTGACTTCCAGGAGCTCTCCAAGGTTCTGATCGGTCCAACCGGCTCCAGGTAATTCCTCATCGGTGTGAGCAGAGAGAGGACAACTCCTCCCTGGTCGGTGTGTCTGTGGTCTGATGCGGGTTTGTTTAGACGGATGAGTAAGCAGGTTGTTGCAGAGATCGATTCAGCAGCTGCTTTTTTAATCTGATCTCCATCGTTTGCGCCGCTGTGGGAGTGATCACTGCTTTCCGTTTGTCACCGTGCCACCACCGAACCGGAACCGGCTCAAGGCGGCGGCTGTCCAGCTGGAGAAAGGCAGCACTGAAGGAGGAGGAGGAGGAGAAGAAAAGGAGCGGCTCTGAGCGTCTGCAGGCAGGAGAAACGGTAACAAAAGATGTCAACCGCCGGGGAAGTGCCCCCGTTTTTCCACAGCGTGGGTTCCGACAGCCCCAGCCGGCCCAGGCAGAAATTCTGCGGCGTGTTCTGCCCGGTGGAGGGATCCTCCGAGGCCAAGACGCTGGACTTTGACGCGCTGTCGGCGTGCAGAGGACGGAGCGCCGCCGGCGGCAGAGTCATCGACCGGCAGAGCGACATCTCCCAGCCCAGGAAGGTGGAGATCCGGGAGAGCACCGGCAAGGAGGCGCTCCAGAACCTGGACGACAGGCGGGTAATTCCCCTCCGTCTCAATCCCCCGCGGTACCAAAGACACGACCCGCTTTCTCTGCACTCACATCTTTCATTCAACAATTGGTTGGTTCGGCCTAAACGGGCGCAAATTGATTTCAGTTTAATCCTGCATGAGCGGTTAACTTGGGTGGACTGCATTTCCCAGAAGGCATTGCGCTGGAACGAGGCGTTGATGCAGAAGAGCAGAAGGGAGTGGCTCTGCCTCCTCCACCCTGATGGTTCATTTAAAAGTCTTTAAATAAAGATTCATTTACAGCATTTATATTTGAGTTCATGACGCGTCTCATGAACACAGGAAAACAGTTTATTGGTGAGAAATTGCTGCAGAAGTTCCTGCAATAAATAATAATATTTTGGTTTTTATCAATTATCAGTCAGTTCTAATGAACATTCAGCACTGGATTTATTTTGGAGCTCATTTAATCTCAAATTAATTTTAGATTAATCAATTTTTCAGATTAATTTTCAAGGTTTTTTCTTGCATGTTTTTCATTTTTTAGCTGAGAAATGTCCATGTTTTTTCTGAGATGAACATATTTTTTTTTTCTTGCAAATTTTTGACTTTCTAAAGAAATTTTGAGAATTCTTTTTTACGTTATTTCTTTTGCAAGTTTGCTTTTAATATCTTTTACCGCAGGAATTTTCTTGTTTCTTTCATGTAGAAAAATATAATAACTCAAAAATTAATGTAAATTGCATTTACAATAACCTTACAGTACATACATATTTATTTTATTTAATTATATCATATTTGAACACCAAAACATTTCAGGGAAAATAAAGTCACAAATAAATTTATAATCTAACCAGTAAATAAATATTTATTTGAGATTTTTTCAAAATAAAAATAGATTATTGATCAAATCTGGAAAGTAGCTGAAAGATTCAATAATTTCTTAAATACACATTTAATCAAATATAAAAACAAATCAATAAAATCTGTAATTTTGCTATTTTTTTTCTGTTGGTTTGATTAAAATCTGAACATATTTTCTTTTGTTTATGTTTCGAGCTGCGACTCCTTTAAAAGCTTCCTGCTGCTAAGAGCTTTGGGTCGGGTTCAATCCTTGCATCATGTTACATATTGATTGGCAGCAATAAGGAGCCGAGCCTTTTCCACCCTTACATATACGGATCTCATCCATTATGACTCTTTACTGCAGGAATATCAGAGTAGAATTACAGCTTTTAAAAGTTATGTAATGTTATATAGTTGTGTTTAATGGCTCTGATGCTGAAAGGTTTTAGCGTCTTTGTTCTGGTTCTGGTGGGAAAAAACGTTTGAAAATTTTGTAGTTAAAAACATCAGGGCTGCAACAGATAGAGAGAAAGGAGTAAATTTACACCCATAAACTCAGAAATATTTAGGCTAATGTCAGAAATTGTCGAGAAAAAAATGAGAAAATCTCCAAGATTTTTCTGGAAATTATTTTTAAGAAACTGTTTTTTTCTAAAATCCTGAAAGTGTTTTGGGAAGCACATGTCCCAAAAGTGTTGAGATTATTAACAAATGAACAGAAATAATCTGAGCTCCAAATATTGTCAATTTGTGGGAAAGAAACTTTGAGATTAATCTCAGAGATTTTCAACAAAACAGAAGGACATGTTTCGGTTCAAAAGTTGAACATTTTAGATTAATCTCAGTATTTTTCAAGTCAAATGTTCAATTTATGATGAATTTCTGCATTTCAAGAGTCTAAACTTCTTGACTTACTGCATCCCAATAAGATGTTCAGCCTGTTGCAGCAGATAATAAAGGCCAAAGAAAGCAAAAGGTGACACAACCCTCTTCTATTTATTTACTAACTAGGTTACATGTGTCAAACTCAAGGCTCAGGGGCCAAATCCAGCCCGCCGTAGCGTTTAATGAGGCCCTCTAGACTCCAGAGAAATGGGTAAAAAAACATTTAAGTTCTTAAATATTAGTTTATCAATCAAATCAAAGCACAGAAATTCATGCAAAATCAACATCAAGCATGTTTTGCACAGATTTTATTGGGAGTTTATTGCAAATTTTCCTCAAAAATGGTAAAACCCCCCAAACATCAGGTTTAAGTGATGCAAACTCCCACCTGCAGGTGGCAGTGTTTCCTTCTCTGCTGCTTCATCTTCACCTGTTGTAACGTAAACATTTCTCAGTTTCTTTTATTTTGTCTAGAAGATGTCTGAGATTAATCTAACAAAAAATTCAGTTATTTTCTTACAAAATTTTTACTTTTGGAGCTCAGATATTTCCAAGTTTTTTCTAGAAAATCTTTGAGATTCATCTAAAAATTTCCTGACTTGTTTTTTTCCAAATTTTCAACATGTGGAGCTGAAAAATTTCCCGTTTTTTTGTTCTGGACATTTTCTGAGATTAGCGTTATTTCACACACATTTTTGAAACATTATTTTTTTCTCAAATTTTTTTTTCACTTTTAGACCTCAGAAATTGTTTTTTTTTTCTTCTAGAAAATTCCTGAAATAATTTTTTTTCCATTTAGCTGTAAAAAGGGGGTGAAATATCTTGAATTTAAAATTTTTTTTTTCATCTTTCCAAACTCAGAAACATCTAATTTCTTCCAGAATTATTTTAGATGAATCTCAAACTTTCAGAATTTTTTTACAGTAAATTTTCTCCTTTATTTGTTCTATATTGAACAGTATGACAAAATTTTCAATATTATTTAATTTAAGAGGAACTAATTGAATGCAAAGATGCTTTTTAATAATCTTAATATATATAATTTTTGACCCCTCAAAAGTAAATAATTACATAATTTTTTGGTTAAATGGAGCCATTGCTTAGCAACAGTCGTCCAGATCTATTTGATATTTCCTCACATTTCTCAGGTTTATTTGTGCAGCACATTTTAGCATCAAGGTGGTTCAAAAGCTGCATGTTGGTCAAATGTTTCATGCATTATTAGAGTATCAACGTCTTTCAGTCTTTATTTAAAGGAATTTATAAAACAATGTCAGAAATGTTCCTGCTTTCCATGTTATCTCAGAGTGTAACAGCCTCTCTGGAGGCAGAAAAACACGTTATTTTGATGAAATTCCCAGTTTTTGCAGCCAGTTGGTGATAAAATCAGATCCAGGAGTTAAGATGGCTGCTGGGCGTTTCTTCCTGGGAATGTGTGCAGCCTCTCCTCTCCTCTCCTTTCTAATCCATGAAGTGAATTGATGGCATTAGAGCCGCTCGCCTGTCAATGGAGCAGGGCGAGGCTCTGCGCATGCGCGCTGTGGACCCTCCCAGTGCGGGCTGCGCCTCCTTTCTGCTCTTGTCTGGTTCCGCGTTGGGAAGGTAACGGGTCTCGGCGCGCCGGTGGAGAGCTGGGTTCGGCTGTCAGGGTTCGGGTCTGAACGTCCGAGGCGGTTTGGGTCGCTCCAGGTTCGGCTGGTTCCGCTCCCGTCATACGAGGCTGCGCGCTGATAATCCGCGCTCCTTCCTCCGTCTCCAAAAAACGCAAAAAGGGAGAGAGAGCGAGAAATCCCCCCGAAACGAGCCGGGAAAGATGTCCGGATACCAGGGCAAGAAGAACATTCCCCGCATCACGGTGAGTCCCGGCTTCCTGCGGGTCCGTCCCGCGGCGTGGGCCTGCGGGCGTGGACGCGGGATGTCACCGGGTGACGCAAAAATCTCCGCTCAGATCTGCAGGAGTTTGTCTCTCCACAGTGATTTTGGACAGAAAGAAGCAGCGGCGTGTCCGCAGCATCTTTGCGACAAGTGTCTGCGTGGATCTGAGCTGGGAGTCCCCACGCTTTGTCTCCTGCGGTTTGCACGCCAGTGGAGATTTCACGCCGGTGGTCTTTGTTAGGCGCCAGCTGGTGGGAGCGCAGCGATCCCCCTCCTCAAACGGCCTTTTTCTGCGTTTATTTCCTCCTCCAGGACAGCCAGCGTCATTCCCACCGCGCTATTTTTAACATTTATCCGCCGTGGGAGCAGATTATTCCCCTGAATTCACGGCGGAGCTGCAGGGGTGATGGATTCAGTGGAAAGTGGCGAGCAGGGAGGGGACGCAGGGTCCTATTTCCTTCATGTTTCTGCTTCAGCTGTGCAGAGAGGGCAGGATGCATGCAGACATGCAGGCAGGAAGGAGGACACCGTCTATAAACTGGAATTTACATCAGATGAAAACAGAAAACATGCATTTATTTACAACAGGGGGATCAAAATATGCTTTTACTTTACATTTACTTACACAAGAAATTGTAAAACGCAACATAAAGTGGTTTAGCAAAAAGATAAAACCAAGTTTATTCCGACTTTTACTGAAATCTGCACCAAAATCAGCTTTTATTGCTTCTTATGCCCTTAAACTTGGATAATTATAGCAAGTTTTTAGAAACAAAGTGGCCCAAATTCTGTTTTTATTAATTAAAAATAAATTTATTCAATCAAACCTAAAAAAATATTATGCTTTAAAAAAAAATACAGCAAACATGCAAAAAACAGGGAAAAAGGAGTAAATTTCTGCCAAAAACTGAAATTTTCTGAGTAATTTCAGAAATTTTCTAGACAAATTGGTTAAAAAATAAAATTTTTAGATTATCTGAAATTTTCTACAAATCAGAAATTTTTGAATTTCAAAAGTCAAGTTTTCAAAAAGTTGCCCAAATGCTGCTTTTATAACTCAAAATGAATTTATTCAATCAGCCCCCAAAAAACATCAAAACTTTGCATTTCTTTTGATACAGAAAATGTGCAATACTTGCGCTAAAATTTGTGACAGAAAAAAAATATCAGCTAAAAAAAAACTGAAATTTTGAGAGAAACTTCAAAAATTTTCTAAAAAAATTGGTAGAAGAAAATCTAGTATGTAGATTATTAGAAATTTTCTGTTGGAAAATAAAAAAAATTGTCTACTTTTTAAAATACAGCAAACGTGCAAATTCTGTGGTGGTGGGTTGTAAAAAAAAAAGGAAAAATAAGAGTAAGAATCTGTGAAAATCTCTGAAATTTTATTTGTAGATTCAGATTTATTTTTCAAGTTTTTG